GCATCACAGCTCACAGCAACCTCCAACTCCTGGGCTCAAGCGAGTCTCCTGCCTCAGCCTCCCAAGTAGCTGGGACTACAAGTGCCCGCCACAACACCTTGCTATTTTTTTTGGTTGCAGCCATCATTGTTGTTTGGCGGGCCCCAGCTGGATTCGAACCTGCCACCTTAGGTGTATGTGGCTGGCGCTTTAGCCACTTGAGCCACGGGCACCAAGCCATGAGTCTAGGTTTTTAAAAGGTATGAAAGTCCTTGTGGTAGCAGAATTTCAAGTCCTAAATAATATTTATTAAATGGAATTACAGCACTTTCATTTTCTGTTTATTTTTGTTTTCTCGAGCTATCTCCTCCATTTGTAGCTACTGGGCAGCAGAGACCATATCAAACTTATTTTTCTGATTCCTGGTGCAGCGCTTGTTAGGAAGTTGGCTCACGTAACATGCGTTAAATGAAAACCGGAATGAATGCTCAGTAAGTATGGTTGAAAATGAATGCTCTTCTATCTCCTGGAATTCTTTCTGTTCTCCAATGAGTCCCGACATTGTTCTGATAAATTTTCCCAAGAGCCCCATTTCCCTGCTGGGGGGCGACAGTAAGGCTAAGAATAATTTCCTCTCCAGAAGTAACACTTTCTATGCTGATGCCACTGCCCTATAACCCAGGTGGGACCCTGTCTTTAAAAAAAAAAAAAAAAAAAAAAAAAGAGCACCACGTGCCCTTAGTCAACATGGTATCTTGATGACTTCAGGAAAGGGCGCCCGAGGAAACGCTATCGACCTTATTCACAATGGCTACTTTTGGCTTCGCTGTGTCCAGAATGCGCATGCTCACAGCTGTTCCCGCCTCCGCCTCGTGATTCTGACGCGTGCGTCGTAACCTAGGCGGCGGTGTGGGAGGAATAAGTCTCTCTGTGATTGGTTGGTGCAGGATTTCAAACCCGAGCCGGCCGCGCGGTGCTGCCCTGCCGTTGGATGAGGCGCGGGAAGTGAAAGGGCAGCTTAGGTGGTACCAAGCGACCCGGCAAAGTGAGTGCCCTGGGCTGCGCAACGGGGTGCATCTGACGCTGGATTCTGGCAGGAAGGGGAGCGTCCGACCTGGTGAGCCACTACACCGCGAGGGTCCGAGGAAGGACCAGTACCTACTACTTCTCCACTCCGGCTTCTCTGGGCGGGGGATAGAGCAGGCGGACTGGGCAGGGGCTGGAGGTGCCTGGGGCTTCTGTCTTGAAGCCTGGCTTGACGCGGAGCGGGGGACGTTTTTTTGAGGTGGTGGTTTGAGCCGGGCAGGACTCACCCCAAAGCAGTGACTCTCACTTATACAGAGTTTGGGAGTGAGGGGGTAACAATTCTCATCCTTTTCGGAGGACCAGGGTGTTTTCAAAGGGAAAGGCCCGGATGTTTGAGAGGCCAGGGCGGACTGTCCTCTGCGGCCTGTTTGTCTAGGCAGCCTGTGTCTGTCTAGGTAGGCTGGCCGAGGCAATGACATCTTGTCCTTCCTGTTCTATTTCTTATCCTCAGTAACAACGAGGCCTTTTACATTTTCATGTACATTTCTCTTCACAAGATTTCTTTTGTGAGCGGAGAGTGTGTGTAGGAAAGAGTTCAGTGGAACAATAAGCTTTTTATTTGAAAAGAAATATTAAAGCGATGACAGTATCTTTTAATGTGCCTGCTAAGTCAACTTTTCAAGTTATTTTATATATATGTTTATTTTTTGAGACAGTCTCAAGCTGTCGCCCTGGGTAGAGTGCTGTGGCATCACAGCTCACAGCAATCTCTAACTCTTAGGCTTCCGACTCTCTTGCCTCAGCCTCTCAAGTAGCTGGGACTACAGGCGTCTGCCACAACACTTGGCTTTTATTGGTTGTCATTGTTGTTTAGCAGGCCCGCGCAGGATTCGAACCCACCAGCTTCAGCCGCTGGCGCTGAAGCCCTTTTGAAGTTATTGTAGGTGTTTAGTAAAGGTTCCTTTCCTATAGCTTAGTCATTCAACAGGTATTTCCTAGGTGCAAAGTGTAAGTGGTGCGAAGTATAAGTAGAAGACAATTTGATTTGTATTTAAAGGAATGTGTAGTTTATTTCGGTTGATAGAACTTAAAAAAAAAGATAACTGTGGTGAATCCGGTAGGCCTGTATGCTGTTGAGAGTGCTGTACTAATGTAGAACAGATATTTCTAATATTCTGTTGGAAAATATTTTGTTAAGTCCCAGGACAGTGGCTCAAGCCTGTAATCCTAGCATTCTGGGAGGCCAGGGTGTGTGGGTTGCTTGAGTTCAGGAGTTTGGGACCAGCCTGAGCAAGAGCAAGATCCCGTCTC